ATCCAAATTATCTAGACAATATTATATGTCATTACATTGACATGATACTTAGAGCGGATTTCGTATGAGTGGGAAACGGACGGTACTGTACTGTGTCCGTAATCGTACTGTAACCAAATTCTAGTGCCCCTTTGTTTCACCAAAATTATGCAGGCCAGGTGCGGTAACTGTGCGGTAACCGTGCGGTAACGGTGTCCCACTCATACGAAATCCGCTCTATGTTATGAGAGTGAAGCATCTGACAAGTTAACTGAACCTTGTAAACATGTTTGAGTCTTGAGTGTTGACATTTTCTTAGTGGTATTAGTTTATGATATTATATAAGAGTTTAACGCGTGGTACGATTCAAGGTATATCTGGTTCCATACCGCGTTGTCTCTGGCTACGTTCGTCGTTCGTATTTTAACTATCAACATGTCTCGAAAGTCTTTTAGAACTAAAGATTTTGTCCTTGATGTCAAACGGAGATTCCACTCGTTCGAGCATTATTTATATCATTATTGAATGTGAAACAGTTTTATAGCCTTTTACAAATTTACACAGAGATGATCATCGTGGAAAAGCAGTTATATGCAAGTTTGTAGTTTTGTTTGATTTTTATTCGTCAATAGTGAAGGACATGTTTCAAGTGTAGCTCAGCTTTTTATGACAGTTTTCTTTGCAAACCGTTATGAAAATCCCTCTCGTTTGAGTTCAGTAACAGTTTAATTTGAGTTGTATAATTGACTGGTCAAAGATTGGAGATAGTGGCTCGGCTATGTATTCACCTACAAGTTTGATTAGCCCTCTGGCTCTATTTTACAACAAATTTCAATTTTTTTTTACTTATTTATCTCTTTTTGTTACAAGCATCTACATCTACATCTACGTTTATTAATCAGCAACGCTTTCGCATCAAGCACTTTATTTTGTCAAGTTAAGAGCAAACAAGTACTAAAACAGTTTCAGTTTCATTTTCAGTTTCAGTTTCAGTTTCAGTGATATTGTCACTCACCAGAAGTAGATGAGTCAAGAATCCTCAGATCATACAAACATCCACCTACTCCTATCATGTAACAATTTTCTTGACCATGGTCCCAACGGACTTTTACTGTTTTTTCTGGTAATTCTTTTGCGTCGTCATTTTCCGCAGTCGTTATAATGGTCCCAGCGCTTCCTTCGCCTCCGTCTTGATCATCCCATCGCCAGTCTGGACCACGAACAACTCGACTTCCCAACATTATTCAAAATCCTGCTTTTCCTATAGAAACTACAATAAAAATGTATAGAAGAGTTAAGAAATCGCAGAGTATGAAGAAACTACTTTCTTCTGAAGTAGAGAAATTCCCAGAATCTGTCAATTTATGCGCTAGTCAATTGAAACTCCCGCCCCCCGAGCTCCGGGGAATACCGGGGAATTTAACGTTTGAGTGATGTTRAAATAAGACATTTCCCTCGGTAGTCGAGTCATTTTTATTGTTAAAATACCCACTACTGTTACCCGCTATTTTGGTCTAGTAGTAAATAACAAAACAAACACCTTTCAATTAAATTTTCTGTGATACACAGGGTTTATTTTTGGATATGAATCCTGTGTACTCATTTGCGTACTACATGAGGCTAACTGGACGGAGAAAAACATGTGTAATAAGTTTCTTTTAACAAGTTTTCATGTAAGGGAAAACAAGCAAATAAAAAACGGGGTTGAATACCAATGCTTTCAAGTTATTCCCCAAGACGGCCGACGTCTAGTTTCCAGCCTTATACATATTCAAACGCGCGTTAAAATCCCCGCTCTTTGCCCCGCTTCGAAAACCATCAAAATCTCGACCCCCGGGGCAATCTTGCTGTCAAAAGCACGTTAAAAATTTCCCGGATCCTCCTAAAAGCTGGACGGGGACATGGGGACTTGGGAACGGGGACGAGGACGCGGGGCAAGGATGCCAGAAGTCACGAATGTTTAAAATTGAATTCTTAAGAACAAAATATACTTACAATACTGCAACCCTGACTTTACTCTGAACTGGCCATGTAATTGTAAGATCTGGGCCTCTGACGTTTTGCAGCTTTATCTAGCGCCCCAAAGCTCCGAGGTTCGCCGTGCTACGCACACTCATTGATATTATATTTAACAATTAGACCTCGAGGTCGAGTGGACTACGAGCTAATAGCCCATGAGGTCGAGTCCGCGAGGCCGAATGGGCTATTAGCTCGTAGTCCACGAGGCCGAGAGGTCTAATTGTTTTAGTATAAACATACTAATCGGTCAAATAATGAAAACAAATTGAAATATCCTTAAAATAATTCATTGAGATTGATTTTCCCGCGAGTGGTCTATCACACAGCGCAGTATGAGTGATAGACCATTAATATGTTTATACTAATTTTCATATTAGATCGATCTTTTGTTGACGTCATATGSAAACGATCAATAGCTGAAAATTTTAAACAGCACCGTACTTGGACGCGCAACTGAATCAATCGTCTTTTTAGTTTTGCTCTTTGATGTGCTCTAGTCAGGTAATGAACAAGTCTTTTGTTTTCTATTTACTAATTTCTTTTTACGGATTTAAAGGAAGATAAAAAGGCAAACAGGTTTATATGAAACAAACGATGGAAAGTTTAGAAAAATTGCTGAAAAACAGGAAGATGTAAACGCGCTGTCCGCGCGTACGCGTAGATATTTTCCCGCCATTTTGGGATTCCTGTGTTACAGATTTCGACCAGCGGTGCACCACGTAAAAACAAAAAATTTCATCGTGTTTGTTCTCAACGAAATTCGCCAAAATTTCACTCCAAAATAACTATTTCAACTCTTCAAGATGTAGTGCAAGCGTATAAATAGTTTTTATGGTGTAATATCGTTGTAGTTTGATTTTTTTCTKAAGCTTTTCAGACATTCACAGCTGTTTTTTCGCTTGTGTTTTGGATCACAAAACATCCAGCAAACTGCAGGGAAAATGACTGACATCGAGTCGTTGACCGCTTCGCTCGTTCGTGAATATTTGAGCAGAAAGGTGAGTAATATTATCTAACTGGTCCTTTCTGTATTACTATTTAATATGTAATATTGTTTTTTAACAAGAGATTAATCTTGATTGACAATAGAGAAACTTTGTTCAGGTTTTCTTGTCGYCTAGGAAATACGATACAAATTTATTTTGTCCAAACAGTTGCTAGAATTTTCAGAAGAATGCATCGAGAACGTTCAAATGTGTTATTTTTATTCGGTCATGCGCTTCATAGCAATGTYTTCAAACACAATTATTTTAAGCAAATCCAATTACATTACTGTATGTAAAAGGTAAGTACATCATGTACTTACAGTCCGAATTTATCTGAGCTTTTTATAAATTCACAAGCTTAAAGCGACACTTTCAATGGATGACATGCGCAGTAACAGTCTTACCTCTAACRGACTTTGAAAGTATTACCTTCGAGGTAAATCATTTTGTGGTGCTTTTGACACACTTTGGAAYATTCTAGATCTGTTTACGTTTACGAGCTGATTTATGTCGCACCAACTTGGAGTCATAAACTTGAAAACACTAGCCTAGTGTTTTCAAGTTTACTCGCGCATGCGTACCATTGACAGTGTCCCTTTAAAACTTAACTTAAAAACTTAAGCTTAATATATAATGTTTATAATTCCTACAGGGCCTCAAACGTACTCTGCAAGTTCTGGATCAAGAGATGCCCAGACTTGAACACAGGTCTGTAATATTTTTTTGTCACATACCACAACTTTGCTGAAAAAAATAAAAATAATTAATAAGGCAGACAAGATAAAAATGTAATTTGTATCCATGGTAGACAATAGATTCCCTCTTGTCAAATTTACATTTGGGTAGACCAATTTTTATTAGCWACAATGTCTTTACATGCAATACAGACAGTGTTGTCTATCGATTTTATAACCTACATTACTTGAGTTTCCATTACTTGAGCCTGCCCAAAAAATTGAATTCATGAAGGCTAAGGCTGAAAGGAAGCATGGAAAAGCAAATATTGCAAGTATAACAGTTTTATAGTCAGAAGATTGACTGTCAGGAAATAAAATGATCTTCTCTTTAGTTATTCTTACTAGTATAATGTAACATGTTTATAAGGTATATATATATAATATCAAAGAGGCAAGATTTTGCTGTTACTCCGAGTTTCGTGCTACGCACTCATCAGACAGTATTTGTATTTAATACTGTCTGATGAGTGCGTAGCACGAAACTCGGAGTAACAGCAAAATCTTGCCTCTTTGATATTATATATATAACTAGCTCTACACTTTATGTGTATTGAGCACTCTTTAATGGGATCAGCTACTTCCTCATACAATTAAGGTATATATATATATATATTTATTTGAATTTCTGAATCTCCTTCAGAATTGGCTTTGATGTTATCACCTTTTTGCGACTTGATAAAGTTGTTTCAATTAGGTGCTGAGGGATATCATTTAGTTATATTAATATATAAAAAGTTTTAACAACAAGTTAAATTTAATAATTTTTCCATCCATACAGTATTAGTAACCGTGCAATGCTTGCTAAAGAAGTTCATATTGAGAAACTAATTAAGAAAAACAAGGTGGGAAAAAATGTTTTTTAATTGTAATATATTTAATATAAGTCTACATATGTATATAATATATTGCATGTGTGCATTTACAACGACCAAAAGCATATTTATTATTGTACAATATTTATTTTTAGTAGTTGATTGATAGACCCTAGTAATTCCCATTTTGATTGACCATAATTGCATTATTATTAGGAGCAAGCACTGGTGTTCAGAACAATGCTAGAGGTCATTGTACAGTACTTGAAAGAAAGGGGAACTCCTAGTACACCTAGTACACCCTCTACTACACAGGAAACCCAAAGACCTTCTACAGCTGTTAAAAGGTTCGAAAATGTGATGACTGTTGGTTTTGGATGTTGTTGGATGAGGCATGATGTTGAATGGGGTTTGGGGTCTGTCAACATCATTCTCATTTTTTATCTATTTTTTTATTTAATATTTTGTTTTGGTTCTGTTCTCTTATCTGGTGTGATGGCTTTAAAAGCTTTAACTAAATAGTTTGTCAAACAAAGGAATCAGCATACGAATTTAAAGGCTATTATGCAGTATTTATGTTTTATGGATGAAGCTTTTTCTCTGTGAATGCAGGGAAAGAAGATCATCTGTAGAAAAGGCTAAACCTCAACAAAAATCAGAAGAAACTGAGAATCATCACACAAACCAAGACTATAGTGACCTACTTGAAAAACTAGAAAAATCAGAAAAGCCGTCTAAACACAGAGAGAACAGAGAAGTACTTCACCCCTCCACACCCTTAAGCCTCAAACCAAAGGTACATTTTCCCAGTCAAACTGACAGCACAACGTCAGCTGCAGCAACTCCAAGAGCAAAGACACCTCGATCTAGAGTACGTAGTGCTGGGCTGGCAGGTCCTGTTGTGAGTTCAGGTCTGGCAGGAGGTCGAGAGAAGCGTGCTGGAAATGTTAAAGGTTTTGCTTCAGATTTAAGTATCACTGGGCATAAGTTTCAGATGGATAAGGGTAAAGTTTCAGTTGAAAGTACCCTGAAAGGAGGTAACTGGGCAAACATGGATCAAATGAAAGGAGTGAGTACACCCTAATTTACAATTTATTATTAATTTAATACTAGAGTGCAAAAACTAAAACCATGAAATAGTAGTGTTAATTTAGCTCTACTGAATTGTATCCCAATTTCTGAACTATTCTATTGGAGAATCTACATTTTACCACACTGTGTAAATTTTTTGACATTGATTGGCTGATTAGAGTTTGTCAATAAGAGGACAGTCACACTRCTGACACCATCATTTCTTGCAAGCAAGCATTGAAAGAAATGAATGATTTTTTTACTAATTATTAGATTTAATATGTGGTAAAGAACACTTACACACAGTTTTTTTGTAGTCCTCTTATTGACAAATTCCGACGTCATGAAATGCAATCATGTGGTTGTGGGTTCAGTCGAGTTTTGAATTTTTTATGACGTCAAGAGTGTGACATACAACTCAAAACCATGTGCAGTTTGTTACATGTAACTATATTGTGTTGTTTTGCTCTATTTGGTTAGTAAATGATAATAAAGATGATAAATGATAATGATGATGATGATCATAGTTATAAATTTATGATGATGATAGGAACAAATGATTTCAATTTTGGTGATGATTAAAATATATTTAGCATGATACCATCACCATGAAATGAAATTTGCATTTTTGAATGTTTTGACAGACTGAGAAAGACTCACATGGAGAAGAAACAGTAACAAAGAATGTCATTCAAGTTGACTTGCAGTAAGACTCATTTATCTAGATATCTAGTAATTACATAAAAATTAAGTTAAAAGAAATGAATATGTAGAGTTTTCAGCCGGGTTTGAGACAGGTTAGGAGATAAGGTTAGGGGGTTGAAAAGTCCTTCATCCATTGCCAGAGGCAGATTATTACTAATGAGATCCAGGTGCTTCCCCAGACAACTTTGAAATTGAGATTCTGAAAAGTGTGATTTCTAGCATTTTGAGATATTTATACCACTTTTTAGCCAATTTGTATTCAGCAAATAGGGTGTGTGCACCCTTAACTCCCTGCCCCCTAAATCGACCTTCTTGCAAATTAATTGGCTTTGCTGTTGGTGGCTGCCAAATAATCAAACTAAAAAATAAACCAGGAAAAATGGTTGATGTTATTAACAAATTGAATGATTTTTCTTGTAGAAGTAGTTTTTCTAATGAAACAAAATCAAAGAAATCACCAAGGTATCATGTACTTCATGTCATTGCTATTGCAGTTTATTTAACAAATAAATAAGGCTCAGYCATGGTTTATACTCTGATAAACGCACGCTTGGTATTTGAAACACACAAGAAAATGTCAAGAAGCACGAGCTGAAAGTTTTATTATATAGATTTTGAGCGAAACTTGAGCAAAAATCCATTTTGTTGCCTCAATATTGGATTTTTTTCAGACCGATGTCCTCTCACCCAAAAAGAASTAATTATCAGCCACAGCCTTACAAAAAAGAAGAGCTTGTATTTGAAGACATTGATGATGATCTGGATGACAGCTTGGGATCACTATCAATAGGTGAATAACACTATTGGAAATTATAATTCAATAAGAAACTTTCTCTACTCTCATTGGTGAAGAGTCGAACATGACACAATAGTGCCTGCTGTGTATGGGTAATTTTAGTGCATAAAGCCTGCTGCTTCAGAGAATTTTGTTGTTGAATAATAAAAAAATAGAGCAGTTGAAATTTCAAGCATTTTGCTGTGATAGTTGCCCTTGGAAACTGGATGTTCCTCAGATCTTCGTAGTCCAATTACTGCATTGAACTTATGGGCAATTGTTTTTTTTTCTGAACATCCAGTTTCCATTGGCAACTATCACAGCATAATGCTCTCGATTCAGCTACTTTTTTTAAGAAATATAAAACAGCGCGCGTGTCTCCGTCCTCTGATATAAACAGGGTGGGAGTTGAAAAACACGAGAGAAGCAAGATTAGAAACAGGAGCGAAGCGTTTTTCGAGCAAAAACTCAAATTTTGCCGGTAAGCTGTGTCTTTGTCCTCTGATAAAAACACCGTCGTCAGCCAATCAGAGCGCGCGTTCTATATCAAAACTTTTATACTGTTTAATATAATTTAGTAGATTTTTTCACAGCTTGAAAAACAAAGCGTATATGTGTTTGGAGTCACTGCTGTTAAAATAAATTATTTTTATTCAGCATTACATGATTCCCACCTTCATATATTTAATAGTGATGATGATAATGATGATACGCGATGATAAAAAGTTTGATATTATGATTAAATTAATAGTATTGCTTATTATTGATTCATTAATAATTTGTAATAATTGTACGTTTAGGCTCATCTCATCAAATTGAAGCAGATTTTGACAGCAAACCAATATCCTTGGAGCAAGCCATGGTAAAATGATTTATTTAGAAAAGAATAGAAATAATTAGAAATTAATAGCTAATTATAGCCGATTCTGCCTCGCTTTTGTTCAAACCCACACGCCCCTCGCGCAACTTGTGTCAAGGAACAAGGAACACACAAGGAACATTGAACATCACAAGGAACACTGTGTTTTCTTCGCCATCCCAAATTACAACCCTGTTCTCGCAAGGGCATAGGCTGAATAATTCTTTCTTTTGCGATTCCGTTGCGTACAGCGCATGCTCCATTCATATTCTCAATAACTGCCGCTTGCCAAGTTCGTAATAACGCAAGAAACGCTTGTGTATTTAATCTACCATGCTAATTTGGTCATCATCATCAAAAAATGAAGCTCGCCGTAGTCGGCAGAACAGTTCGGCTGCACGCAAGTTATTGGGTCCATCCTGCTTTGGCTTATTATTTAATGATTTCAATTTATACTCTATGGCTTTTTTCAGGCTCTCAAAAATCTAATATTTGGTTCCGCAAACAGTTCGTTCAATCAGGAATGGAGACAACAGAGCTTTAATTTCTGTGATCTTTATGGTCTAGAATACGGTATAGTCCAACATAAGGTACAGTGCAATGGTTTTACTTCTACTCTGTCACTGATGCTCTTGTGTTCTGTTTCATTTTTACTCTTAAAATCAGATCACGCTGAAATTTCTTATCCCAATCCACGACCATAATTTTGTTTTCCTTATAGGGCGGTCCCTGCGGGGTTCTTGCTGCTGTGCAGGCTTTTGTCCTCAAGAGTCTTTTGTTTGGAGATCAAAGAAAAAGAGATTSTAGACAGTACGTGAACACCCTTTTCCAGACTTACATGCTTTGAATWCAACCAAAATACTCCAGTTTCGAGATCTTATTTAAACAGCGTTAACCTCAACTGGGGGAAACCTATTCTTTTATTCAATGAAACTATTGTAAGGCAAAAACTGAGTACAAAGAAAACAATTTGTTTTAAAGGGACATGGTCCACTAGCATCCCTTTGGAGCTTTTGTTTACGTTTGAAAATAGAAATACATCGTAATATAAGCAAAAACTTACTCTTTATCACTGGAAAAAATCGCGCGCTTTTAAGGTTGTAAATTTGATGTAAATATGATGTAAGCGTCCAAAATTCTGTAAATTTGATGTAAATGATTTCCATTAAATTTACAGAATTTTGGACGCTTACATCATATTTACATCAAATTTACAACCTTTAAAGCGCGCGATTTTTCCAGTGTATTATTCCTTTATCCTATATGAATGAAGATGCTTTAAGATTCGACCGTTAAACCGATGGATGGAAACGGATTGCAAATTGATATTTTAAGTCACCTCATTTTCCATATATGAAAAATCTAAAACACTACCGCATTGCATGCTAGTGGACCATGTCCCTTTAAAATTGAACCTCGTGCGACAATTTTTGCTTATTTTTCAAACCTCGACTGTTAGGTGTCTGCAACCATCGTCGAGAGARAGAACCAAAGCTTTAGCTACGGCCATTGCTGAGATATTATGGCGAGCTGGACAAAATCAAACCGCAGTTGTAGCACTGTAAGTTGAAMCTCGTAAGATTTAAAGGCACTTTTGCCGAGAGTCTGATATGAACAATCTTATGATTTTAGACCGACAGGTTTTGGGAATTCTAATTTTATTGGTGCTGGAAGATATAAACCTGATCAGTTAACAGAAAATGTAAGTGAACAACGGATATTTATAATGTATTTTTCATCAAAGAAGCCGGCTTTTCTGGTCGTTTTTCCTAACGAAGTTGACGAGATGCTTCTTGAGATTGAAGAAAGTGCAAACTCAGCCATGTTGTTGCGTTTCTGGTGTTTCAGGCTGTTTTTTGGAACAACAAGCCTTAGTTACAAATGTATCTCATAGTCTCTTCTCGCAGCCGTTGTGAGTCTTGTTGAGACCTGGGAACGGTTGGTGCTTCAATCTGACAGTTGTGTAAAAAGATAAATTTAACACCATAAAAAAAGTATGTGAAATAACTTACTGACGTTTCGGACGTTAATCCTTCGTCGGAGTGTTTCAGTCTACTTACTCTAGTGCGTAGTCGATTCATTGAATTCTCTAAAAAAGCGTCAATTTCGCAAAGAACTTTTTTCCTCTTATTTTTTAAAGACGTCCTCCATCTCKAYACTTTCTTCAATACCATAATGCTTTTCGCTAAAACTCATGACGTCATTAGGCTAGACTCAGTGCCATTGACGTAAGGGTAATTGTACATTTTGCCATCAGCTTGTTCTCAGAAGTTTTACTTCAMAAGAAAGTCTCTATAACTACGTTAATCAACAAATACAACAGGTATAAATACTCATAATTTATTTATAAATCGTAAAAATACCTCATTTGTAACTAAATTTATTGCAATATATTTTTATTGTAGTTTGAAGATAAATCCAGTAGTGGTTGCATTTTGCTGTTATATTCCACAATACTTTCAAGATCGATAAAAAGGTATTAAAGAAAAATACCATCTACTCAGACCGCAACCTTGGTCGCGAAGAAAAGTTGAGATATTTATCATTATTGGGTTTCAACCACATGATCAAGAATCTC